GTGCAACGTTTGCTAAAGCGATAAACGAACACAGTTGCCGATTCACGAAACACCAACGTGCACGCACGTCTTGCGTCATTGACAATGTGTAACTTCATGAACAGCTAAGTTGATTTATTGCTCACGTAAATCAGATGAATCAAAACCGGTCGTTCCCACCTTTCAATAAAATGTATGTTAATGCCGCCTACGTATGTTGCTCGGCCCAACAAATTCGGCAAAAGCAATGGCTATAATTTAATGCATTATAAGTATATGCATTATAAGCATTATGCATTATAAGTAGCGCATACTCTGCAGTTTCCCTTTCACTGTTAATATATTCTCCCGATGAGTTGTCAGCATAACTTTGGTTAAAAACATCCCGGCATTAAATATATATTAGTAACTGATATAAGCTGGACTGCTGCCCCTTTAATTCTCTTAGGGAATGATGTCATTATATCTGTTTTGTGTATTTGTATTTGTGTGTACTATGGGTATATTCAGTGGATTAAAAATGGCTCTTTGTAATTAGAAACTTATTTGTTTTGTGCCGTAACACTTGCAAATCACCCTGATGAGTCCACTGGGTTGTGACAGATATGCCGATGGTTTTGTCTCGACAGAAGAAGAGCGATTATGATGGCAGTCTGGAAGGAAGTCAAGCTGTGAACGAGGTGATGCTTTTGCTTAAAAACAGCGGGGAATACTTGGTCATTTCTCACGGCGTTATGTGCAGCGAGTTACGTTGCGATTCAGTGTGGCAAACAGTACTTCTACCCCGGATCGTTTTGATACCAGTACGAGTTTGGTTGTGATGCAAGGTATCTGTCATTTAATTTCCTAGCCAATAGAAGCTTAGTTGGAGTTCCTCCGGGTGGGAATTTTCATATCTCAGTTTATGGAGTACAGCAAAATGCTGCAAGTTCCCTGAACGAAACCTGGTTGAGATCGTGCGAACTACATAACGAGAGCACAGATTAATTGCGATATAGTCAGAGCAAAGAACTATGGTTAGCAGGTAAGGTAATTACATCCTGCTATTGGTTTTAATATGAGTTAAACTAGTGCTTCATTTAGTACACATTAAAGTACTGTACCCCACTGACTGTCTCTTATGCTTGGAGGTGGCATTTACTACACATAAAATATCGATCGATGTCGATAATATGGCACATCAATGTGAAAGATTTCATTGGGAAAATATGTGCGTCAGCATCCCTAACATTCGCGGTACAAACATTTAGGATAACCGGGAATTTACATTGTGTGCTTTGTAGCCGTGCAGAAACAATTGATTTTGTACATTCAGTTAATTTCAC